CTATTTTGTTTTTAGAAACTGGAAGCAAATGTCCACCCTTTCCAGCCCTGATGCTGGCTGAGATCTGTGCAAAGGAAGCGTGCAGATAGAACCTGCATCTCCAAACCTGACGCTTTCTGTCATTTCTCACACTTCCAGGGTCTGACTAATCTGTTCTTGCAGGATCTCGTCGTCCTGATTTTTGGATTTAGAATACCGTGTTTGTGAAATGAGTAAAAGTAAAAATATTAAAGATAGAGTAAAGTTCTGTTTCAGAACGTGGCCAGAAGATTTAAAAAAAACTTTTTCAGAGAGATGGTTTTTTTTTCTAATGACTCTCTCCAATAGCCATGCATCACCACGGCTATTTGTAATACCTGAGTAATACCAGTAGACAACTAAAAAACATCTAAAAAAGCCAAGAGGGAATGTGTCCCATCATGCTTGACTAGTAGCTAATAGGTCACCACCTACTGGTGTCCAGACTGGGATTTCCAGTCTGTGGGTATAGGTAACAAAATCAGGACACCTACAAAAAAAGCCTCTTAGGTTTTAAAACAGGAATGTCAGCAGCAGACATTGAAACTGGTAGACCTGGTTAATGACTGCTTTCTTACTGGGTTTGTTGGAGCACCTACAAGCAGAAATGCTTGTATTGATTTGATCTGTTTCAAACGATCCAGACAGACTGAGGCCAAACGGAGGTGAGAGAGCTGAGGGACCTGTGATCGTGGAGAGGTTTGACTTTTACTTTGAAACTGTACAGATCTCCAAATTTGAAAGCCAAATCCGAAAACCAGACTGTGGAGTAAAATGGACGAGTCTAGATCTGGATTTAAACAGCTTCTGCTTGAGGGACCGAACAAATGTATCCCTGGAGGTAGTGAAGCATACCCTAAAGAACAATATCCCCCAAAATCAATTAGGACCAATATTGGAGAAAATTGCTTCAGGAAATTAAAAATAACAGGAATGAGTTAAGAAAATTAGTACAATGAATTAGAAGCACAGATAAAAATATGATTATGCAGTAGAAGCTAAACTTAATGGTTCTTTCAATACTACAACAGCAAAAGAACCACAAAAGAGTGTTGGAGAGTTACAGACTAAAAAAGGGACATGGCCAATGTACAAAACATGTATTTCACTCCAGTGCTCACTGAGGAATAAGTGAGCCACATACCTCAGGCAGCAGGAAGTCAAAATTCTGTATTTAAAGTGTTTTTGGGTAGTAGGAGCACTCTGGATTAATAAATCCTTAGATCCTGATGGCAATTTGTACTCAAGGAAACAAGACCGTGCTTAAGACAGAAGGCACAAGTATCTGTACAAGGACCACTGTTCTTTCTAGTTTATACCAATGATCTCGATTCTGGTATGATTAGTAAACTATTCAAGTTTGCAGGTGATACAAAAATGGGAGAATTAGCAAACGCTGAAATGCTGTAGGAGCAGCAAACTAAATTCAAAAGGCAAAAATTCAAGATGTACACTTGGCAAAGAATGTTTGTGTTGAACAAGTGTCACGTATTACATGCAGGTAGTAAAAACACAACCTGGAGTTTTCGGTTTTAGGGTTATACAGTATGCTTGTTTTCTAGGCTATGGTTTTCCTGTTTTCAGAAAATGTTTTATAATCGCTTATGTGCCAGTCAATTATTTCTCAGATTGATTGACAGAGGCAGTGCAGTCTGCTCAGTTGTAAATGGCTGCACCAAGGAAGGTGAAGGCTACAGGGAATAGAGTGTATTTGAGGAAGGCTGGGCTGCTGCTGGGAGTGGTAGAGGAGGACCAGTAGGTGGCGCTCTTGCCACTGGATCGGAAATTCCTAGCCCACAACCAGTAGCAGTGGAAAACGCAGGGGGCAATTCTATCTTCTGGATCCTTTTCAAACCAAAGTCTTGACTTAACATCATCATTTCACATCTCGGGGGGGATTTTAAATTGCGAGGGAGCAAACCTGAGAGCCGCAGCTAAAGTTTTAGTGTTTCCCGCCCTGGTCAGCTTGAATTTCCAGCAGTCGAACTGGCTCAGTAATTGCTCGTTTTCTTCCTTTGAGCTGCAGTGTAGTCGACTGCTGTTGTGCCCTGCCCCTGGGGGAATTTTTTGTTAAAGTGAACAAACCACAAGAGAAAGGGCAGGCGTTGGCATCAGCAGTGGTGCTCATGAATATCCTGCTCCAGGTGGTGGTGCCTGCCTCTAGGGAAACTTCATAGCCCGAGGAAATCGGTGCCATTCTGTAGCACACAGGTAACGTCGGGTGCCGTTTCAGTGTGAGACATATTCAAAAATGTTGGGAGATTTAGTATTTATTTAAATCGAGACGAAGTTTATATTTTTCATTATTTCTTTGTGCAATTTGTTTTTTTGTTTTTTGTACTTAGACCTACGTGATGCATCCCGGTCGAGGCTGCACGAAGGTGTTTGTGAGTCTGTATCCAGACGCCTCTCGTCTTCAGTGCTGTTTGTTTAATTAAAAACAATGTCGCCTTTCTGCCGCTCTCCAGAGACTCGCGGGCTCGGTTAATTGGTGTCTAAACCTGGCCGTGTGTGTGTGTGTACGCCCTTGAGGGACTGAGCTAGTCTCCTTTCCAGGATGTCCACTGTGGACCGTGGACTCCGGTACAGTGTACTGTATTTCCGGGAGAGGCTCGGGGCTGCTGCGCCCCCGACCACACACTGGAAGATTCCTTGTATAACATCTCGATGCCACGCCAAACTTTTGATTAAGTGCATTTTTGACGCTTTTTGGTCTTTATAAACGCAATATACCCACTGTACAGTTTTAAACACTATCTCCTACTACATGATTTAGAGAAGCGCGGTTTTCATTGTGGAGTTCGCTGTTCTTTTACTCTTGCTTTCATTCGGATGTGTCACGATGACTGTAAATGAATTGCGCTGTTTTAGTATTTACAAGTCCATCACTGAGTTAATAATAGCAGTGTGCAACACAGGACTCCTAACAGTCCTACGTCATTATGGGTTTTTTTTTTGAGTGCACTGCACAGTTTCTGCAAGATCTTCGCAGAGATTACATGTGGGTCTTCCTGAGTGAGACGTAACAAAGATTAAGGCGCCTTTCGGCGTCTCCTACACCAGCTCTGGGCTTTGACGGGACTCCCTCCCCGTGACCTTTGACAGGGAGTAATCTACATAAAGGAATGACAGGCATTCGGCTGCGCTGAAGCGCTAGTGGGGGACGCGTCTGTTCCGCGGAGCCGCTGCGGAGTTGAACCAGGGCACCGCGCAGAGGCAGCGCCGGTGCTCAAGTCGGGGCGATGAGCCTCCGGAGTGCGAGCCGGCAAGGACCGCGTCGTCGGAGAGCAGCAGGGAGCGCATGAGTGCCGGTCCGCTGGCCCGGCCCGTCCGAGGAGCACGAAATGGGCCAGACGTCCGTCTCCACCTTGTCCCACAGCGCGAGCGGTGAGTAGCGCGAGCGAGGGGCGGGTGGGCTCGCGATCAGCCCGCGGGTCAGACCAGGTGCAGCCGGTCCGCAGCACCGTCGCCGATCGGTTAATTCTGCTGACAGCTCCTGCCCTGGCAAATGAAGGAAGTCACGTATCGAAGACGAAGAAGGAGAAGAAGAAAAAAAAGTTGCTCTGCCTGAAAGCGCAGCTTGCTTTTTGGTTAGAAAAAAAGTTATTGGAAAGTGTTGAATTCCTGGCTTGGATCGTTTTTTTTTTTGTTCAGTAAATTACCGCTTGAGGCCAGTTGCTTAAGTGGGCTTGTTGAAATGAAAACACATTAAGCACTATAATGAAAATTATTTAGACTTCATGATGCTTGACCTAGGGTACGACTCTTGTAGCGTAAAGTGCCTCTTTTAGGAAGTGAGTGAATAGTGTTTCCTGATATTTTATTCGTATATGTTACATTTCATTCTCGTAACGGACCCCTTAAACCACTTTTTTCAGACTATCTCCGTGTAGACGGAAATTAACAACAGATGGGACAGTGGGGCTGTCCGTGTCGGAGCTTCACGGACGCGGGGGGGCGGCGTGGCTTTCTTAGCTAACGGGTGGGACGAAAGCGAGCTCGGATGAATTTGGATGGACTTGAGCGGTCTCGCCTCCAAACTGGGAGTGTTCGCATCCTGCGGCAGACGCGTAGTCTTAAGAGGACAGTATATTATTTGGAGCCGTAGCTTTTCGTTAATTGTTTGCCCCTGGTATTATACGGTGGGTGCTGGTCCAAAGTGCTTAAATATGTTGAACTTTCTTGAGGGGTATGTGACCGCGTGTATAAAGTTTTTTTTCTGCTGAGCGAATAAAGAAGGAAGTAAGGATTTTACAGACGTTGTGAAGTAACCTTTTTTCAAAGCAAGGCCCATTTCTAAAGGGAAAAGTGCGTCTTGTTGTGAACTATTACCCAATTAATGCGAATTTCGTGGTTGGAGAAGGCTAAGCTGAAATGACATGATTTCCTGCGTTTCTGTGCTCCCGTATGGCATTTCTCAGACTGATTTCCTTTCTATTGTCTCGGCGTTTCTGGAAGGTTTGTCGTCTTGTGAAAAAAACCCCAACAACTTCCTATTCATCGCTTCGAACAGTTCCTTACTGCCATCTGACTTGTGGTACATCATTGCTTAGCGTGTTCCCCTACTATTGTTTCTCTCAAAACGCAACGTGACTGCGGGGTGAAAAGGCCAGTCGCATTTAAAGTACCCAGAAATAAATATGGGGGGGGCGGGGACAATATTACAGCTCAGTTTCTACAAGATGAAAAGACACATTACTCTGTGGATGTTGAAGTACCAGGGCTGTGAGTCTCCTTTTCGGGGAAAAAGTCGTGGGGCTTGATGAGGGCATGAGCCTTAGTGTTGTGTGGTCCCACACTGGGCCAGATGTTTCAAGATGGGGCACGTCCTTCTGAGAGCAAGCATCTCTTCGGGCCACTCTGCCCTATATCCTCTTAGATGTGCCCGCCATCATGTCCACTTCCAGCGAAGAGCACCTATTGAGAGGTCATCAATCTTTGTCAGGGCGGAGCGGTGACTCTGTGACTAAGGATCTGCGCCTGTGGCTGGAAGGTTGCCGGTTCAAATCCCGCAGCCGGCAGAGGAATCCTACTCTGTTGGGGCCCTGAGCAAGGCCCTTCACCCCAACTGCTCCAGGGGCGCCGTATAAATGACAGACCCTGTTCTCTGACCCCCAAGCTTCTCTTCCTGTCTGTGTACCTGTGTGTCTCATGGAGAGCAAGCTGGGGTATGCGAAAAGACAAATTCCTAATGCAAGAAATTGTATATGACTTATAAAGTGATCTGATCTTATCTTATTCAGCATGGGTGTCCAGAGGCTGTTTCTGCCTGCAATGGATGTGGCCTTTAAAATCTCACATGATCTTCGGACGTACAGACAGTACACGCCACATTGAGGGCTTGAGGTTTCACATTTTTCTCCCCTTCACTCCAGAACAGCTCTTCGTTCACACCCTCTGAGGGACGCTGGTCTCGTGTCGTGTACAGCAGACGGAGAACGGAGAGAGCTTGTTTCTTGCTGGGGTATGGCAGAGAGACCAGTGCCGCAGCTGGGGACTGAGATAGGAACCTCTCTGTGTTGGGACTGTGTCACCTCGCTTCCTTTAATAGGGCCCATGGCAGAGGTAGTGTGTTCTGATGCTGCGACTAAGATTGGGCAATAAACTCAACGTTTCTAGTTCGGAGATTAATGAGAGCTTGGCTAGGGCTGTTTTTGCAGGGCGGATTTGAGTCTTTGGAGTGGGTAGGAGAAGGGTTTCGCAGACATGGAGCTTGACTAACAAGGAAACTACCAAGTGCACTGTTAAGGTGTTGCGATCTTTGGTCACTCATGGCCTTCATCAGCCTTGGCTGACGTCCTGCTGAGGTGGCAGAAGCCAGCTGGACCTTGTCCAGGTGGTCATCATCCCCATGGGGTTTTGTTTCCAGTATATCCCTGCCTGACTGAAGCTCATTCCTCCTTGTGTCTAGTCTGTTGATATTTGTTTATTTGGTAACTGCTTTGAGGTGAGAAGAAGGGTTCTGCCTGAATTGTGCAACAGTGCCTAATATTCTGCGTCACTGGGCCGGGTATCTGGGGAAGAGATTAAAACCCTGCCCATATACAGTAGGTTTGCATCGAAGGAGATGGGGTACATTAAACAACAGATCGTCATTCCTTGAAATTTCTTTGCAGCTTGTCAGAAAGATGCCTTATGCACCAAAATGGCTTGGCTGCCAGTAGTGGGATCATGTTCTTCACTCACACCCTCGTAACAATGAAGTTGGGAGCTTCAGTTTCTCTTCAGAATGGTTGAAAAGAGTAAAAGTCCAGCATCTGCATGTCTCCTAGAATGAGTGCTGAGTTTTCACATTTACTGGTTATGTGTGTATGTGCAATTTCAGCTGCAAGAACAGCAGGCTCAGTAATTACCCACAATAAACATAAAGTATCACTAGGCATGCTTATTTCAGGGCATGTCAGCTATGAAATATTCGTACATGAGTATGCATATTCAGACTGTATGGTGAGATATATGTATACGTATGTATTACCTGGGAACTCAATCAGCTTGGTAAGCCCAGTATAATTAACCTTGGAGTCCAGTGCTTGGCGTGGTCAGCCTGACCTGAAGGTTACATCTACAGGGGTTTCAATTGTGTAATTAGATCGTATCCCAATGCTTTTTAGCCTGTACAAAGTAGCCTGTGATTAGCTTGTAGGGAAGCATTTCATATAGCCTTAATGTGACAAGGCCACATACACAAGGATCTCCACCTCTCCATCAGATGAGTGAACCTGAGACGTTTTATTGAATCAGAAATCACATACAGTATAATGCTATATGGGCACCTACAGAGAAAACATTAAATACTATTAAATGTGTTTAGGTTCACCTTTGTTAACATAAAAGTTCTTGCTTCTGTGTTCCACAGTATAATTTTAAATGTAAATGCATTTCTTATAAAAGTTTTCCCTACAACACCACCTGTGGTACAGATCTGTCGAACTTCAGCCCTGAGTGGAGTGATTTATATCTCTTGCAGGCAAGGCTTTGTAGCACAAGTGGTAAATGGACAACAAACACAATCGTTGCTTCCAGAAAGGTTAACATGAACTGCACACCGTTATTGAAAGAAGAGGGGTTCTATGTCTAAAACGTATATTGCTTGTGGCTCGGCGCTGGCCATCGTGCTTGGAAACACCAGGTCTGTGCGTCAGAGATGTTAAGGCTGAGTGTACTGGTCAAATCATTTACAAATCTGTGCTTCAGCGCATTCAGCCTTTTCGTGTCCCGTCATTGGAGTGCCAAAGATGTTTTAAAATCAAACCGGGAGTCAGGTTGGGAAGTGAACGAGATTGAGGGTTTTGGGGAGTGGAGGAGTTGCCGCGCTGGACCTCGGAGAGTCCTGCTCGTGTGCGCACACGCGAGTCGGAGAGTGGGATCAGCTCCCAAATGACACGCTGCCAAGATCCTAGCCATGGTGACTGGAACAGTTTCCTGAGAATGTTTAATATCGCAACCTCTGCAGCTAAGGCTGTGGCAAAACGCCTCTCTGACTGACTTTTTTTTTATCCATGGTAGGAAGTCAAGGGTGTCTTAATGAAGTTAAGAAATTAACTTGTCCTTTGAAAGTTAACAAGTCCTTGTATCTTGGAAGCGATGGTAGTTTTTTTTTTCTTGGCTAAAATCTTTTCAACTCCTTGCAAAAATGTGAGAACAGTTTTAAGTTGAATGTTTAGTATTTGTGTGTTTTTGAGAAGAAGAAAAGTGTAACAGCTACAGTAGGAGAGCTTTCTGGAACTTCCTCTAAAGTGGCTGTAGTGTACAGAGAAGGAACTAATTTGACCAGAGCCCATTTTACAGATATCGCCAAACACATCCTTTTGGTTAACTTTTGCAAGTTTCCTTCACCGACCAGTGCTTTTTCAGATTTTTCAAAACATTTCTTAACTGGAAAGCAAAAGCACACATGGCTCATTGTCATTCTTCTCCGCAGTGCAAAGCAGTCCGTTAATTGTCTCAAGTTTTGTGGTTTCGCTTTCACTTCTGGCACTGGGCAGCAGAACTCCAGAAATTGAGAAAAATTGCACAATGTCTTCTAGCAGAGACAGAACTGTCACCCTCAGACACGATGAGCTTCCACTCCGTGTGGAAATGTGGAAGTTTGATGTACCCACATGACTATGATGATGGGGGCAGGGGGAGGGATAATACCCCCAGTGACCTTTACAGTATGTAAAGACGTCTGTGCCATTTGCTCTTTGCGTCTGTATTATCGCTTAAGACGCTCTCTTCAGGAAGATGCAGCCTCTAATCAAGAGTAACTGCAGCCTCCCTGAAGCCGTCTGCTTGGAACAATTACAGTAAAATCAAATGAACTGAGCTGTCAGTTTAGTGGGGGGGCCTTTAATGAACATTTGCAATACAACTCACGGCAACTGGGCCAGCAAATTAATACTTTG